GGGTGTGTGTGTGTGTGTGTGTGTGTGTTGCATGAAGGATTGACAAAAGGCACCATTCCTAAGGGAGAACAATTAGAAAAGTAACCTTTCCCCAAAACTAAAAATGGTCCTAGGACCATTTGCCTGGTGGGTAAAGCATGGACTAGGCTTTAGCTCTCACCAGTCCTACCTCTACTCTGCAGTCCTTGCCGTTCTTATATGGAAGAGTCCCCTTGGACCCACAGACAGGCTTCTGACGCCTCTGCCATAGCATGTTCCTTCCTCCTCCATCACCAAGATCTTACAGTCACCAGCTGGCTCATAAACCACTCTCCAGGCCCTCTCCATGGGTCAGCAGAGGCTTCCTGGCAGCATTAATCAAGTTCTGTTAGCATTTTGCTTCTGTTAAACTAATCCAGTTAGCCTAAAAGGCAAGAACCAAGGGCTGTGGCCGGCTCAACCACTGGCTTTTGTTTTGGGTTTACTTTGAAGTTACAGGTGACTGTGAGGCACCCTGGGAATTGAATCCTGGTCCCCTGGAAGAGCAGCCAGTGCTTTTATCAGCTGAGCCATCTCTCCAGCCCCAACAGCAGTTTAGTTGGCCCTCTTTATCAATCAGTGAGCTCCAATCTATGGAGTCAGCCCACTCCTCAGAAAAATATTTGAACAGTAGGCTTGATGATGTGAACCTATAATCCCATAAGCAGGGCACTGAAGGAAGAGGAGCCTGACTTCCAGGTCAGCCAGCTTGGGCCAATGAGATGGCTCAGCAGGCAAAAGCACTTGCCATCAAGCCTGACAACTGTTCAGCCATCCAAGCCCGCATGGTAGAAGAACCAACTCTTATGCAAGTTGTCCTCTGATGTCTACACACAATGTAGCATCTGTATGCCACACACACAGATAAATAATAAAGAGGGAGGAAGGAAGGGAGGCAGAAAGGACAGGAGGGAGGAAGGGAGAATGTGAGAGAGGGGGAGGGAAGGAGAGGTAAAAATAAAGGAAGGTAACTTTAAAATTAAAAAAAAAAATGAGGCAGAGTGTGGTGGTGCACATCTTTGATCCCAGCACTCAGGAGGCAGATACAAATAGATGTCTATGAGTTCAAGGCCAGCCTGGTCTACATAGTGAGTTCCAGGATAGCCAGGACTATGTAGAGAGAACCTGTCTCAAAAAATAGAAAGAAAAATGGCACAGAGTCAGGTGAATCTCTGTGAGTTTGAGACATAGCAAATTCTAGGACATCCAGGACTACACAGTGAGACACTGTCTCAAAACATCAACAACAAAATAGTGTGTGTGTGTGTGTGTGTGTGTGTGTGTGTGTGTGTGTGTGTGTGTCAGCACATGACCATGGTTGGCATGCAGTTTCTTGACATGGTAGTTGAGACACCCTCAATTTCCCAAGCAGGTTCTGATGTTCATCTGCCTGACAGTGAGGGTGCTGCCCCAGGACTGTTTGGTGGGGCCCCCACAAAAAAAAAAAAAAAAAAAAAAAAAAAAAAAAAATGGGAAAGGAAGAAGCAGCAGCCACCCTGTGGCTCATGCTATAACCCAGCAGCTGGGGACAAGGCAACCCAAGGCCAACCTGAACCTGTTGTAAAATAACCACAAAGAGGGGGGCTGGAGAGATGGCTCAGAGGTTAAGAGCACTGGCTGCTCTTCCAGAGGTCCTCAGTTCAATTCCCCGCAACCACATAGTGGCTCACAACCATCCATTATGAGATCTGGTGCCCTCTTCTGGTGTGCAGATATACCTGGAAGCAAAATGTTGTATACATAATAAATAAATAAATAAAATTTAAAAAAAATCAAAAAAGAAAATAAAAGAACAAACAAACAACAAAAACAGAAATGAAGCAGAAGAAAAATGTCTGAGTATATGCAGGCCTTTCCCCCCTGTTATTCCCTAAGCAATGCGGTATAACAAATACTTAGCATTCACAACATTTTGGGTGTCATCATAAGTAATCTAGAGATGTTTTAACTGCACAGGGGGCTATAAGTGGGGAATTTGCAAACACTGCACCCTTTTATACAAGGGCCTGGAGCATCACCCATGGGTCCTAGAAGGAACTCCCAGTATACAGCCACTAATGACTGTACTCTCCAGGTTGAAGAGGCCCTGTCATTGATCTCACGATGACTCACTGAAGTGAGGTACTGCCTTTCGTTCCCACTTTCATGAGCAACTGGCTGAGCCCTAAGGGAGTATGGACGTCTCATCCAGGGCTGTGGCAAATCAAGTCAGAAACCTGACACACTAGGTTTTCTGACCCCAAAATTACTCGGGCCAAAGTTCTAGTTAAGTCACCTGGCCCAGGAGAAGTGTGACAGTGATGGAAAAGGAAGTCATCCCAGAGGGAGGGGCCCAGGTACATGGGAGGGTCTGGTCAGAAATCTAAGTGGGATTCTGTGGCTCGGGCAAGTCAAAAATGAAGCAATAAGGCTGGGAGACACACCTGGTGTGTCTGGATTTAGGACATTTCTGCAGGCCAATGGGGAGCCATCTAGGTCTTTGTTGTAAGCATATGACAGGACCAGACACATCTGTGGCCTAGAACAAGGCTGAATATATAGAGCTCCTGCATTTGGGTGCCTTTGAGGTTCCCATGGCAACAGCTAGCTCATCTGTGGTCTGTCCTTGGACCCAGCCAGCAAAGGAGATTGGGAGCAGCTCTCAAGTGTACTACTTCCCCTAAGTCTGAGGAACTAATAGGGGCATACAGGACCAGAGGTGACTCACTCCACTCCACTTGTCATTCTATCACAAGTGTCGGGTGGAAGAGAGTGGGGCCTGGAGGCCGCAGGAGGCAGAGAGAGAGAGGCAGGCCATAGGCGGTAAAAGGCTGGGCATGAGGGGAACCTGGAAACACAGTGGGAGAAGAATAAGAAATAAGAACAGAAGAGAGAAATGACAGATCGCGGCCCTTGGGGAAGCAGTTTTGGGGACTGGCTAAAGAAAAAAATAAGTTTTCCACTTAAAAGTAGAAGGCCCAGGAAAGAATGTGGTAGTATAGGACTGTAGTCCCAGGACTTGGGCACCAGGGCAGGACTGAAAGTTTGAGGCCAGCCAGGGACATACAGCAATGTTCTGTTTCAAAATAAAAATAGCGAGAGGTGCCACTCAGTGATAAAGCCTCTGCCTAACACACTGGGAGCCTGGGTTAACTCCAAAGAGAAGAAAAGAGGAGATGGGGGAGGGGAGGGGAGAGGAGTGGGTGAGAGGAGGGGTGAGGCCCAAGACCATCCTCAGCTCCAGTGACACCCTCACTCTGAGGGCAGCAAAACCCTCCTGGGAAACTCTGAAAGAAAGGACTGGAAGCCAAGCCAAACACCCAGCCCCTAGAGAGCCAACAGGGACCAGTGGCAGCATAGGATCGGCCCTCGGTGCTGTTCCCAAGTTCTCTAGAGCAGCGGAAAGGGAGCAGGATCATCAGCCCGGCCTCCCCTTCCCAAAGCTTCACCTCCATACACTGGCCCCACAGTCAGAGCAGCTCCCAAGGTCACTCTTCAGTGTTGCTGTGGGTTGTGGAGGTGACAGAGAGATACCCTCCTCCCACGGGGCCCCAATGTACCTGGTTCCCCAGCCTTTCCCAACATGGCCCTTGGGTTAATGGCTCTTCTTTTCTTCCTAACTTGGCGGTTTCAGACCCTGCAGTTCAGTTTACAAAGGCTTGAGTGTGCAGGAAGAGGAAGGGCCTTGAGAGGCCCCCAGACTTCTAAATGTGTTATCCAACAGAAATAAGCCCTTGTCATGGAAACAAGAGGCCAGAGAACCCCATACCAACATTCTCTAGGAAACCAAAGAAGACCTGTGTATCCCCACCGCTAGGCCCAGCACCCTGGCAGACAAGGAACCCTGCCTGCCTCTGGCCTTGAGCTCTCTCCCAGCCACCAGGGTTACCTCAGCTGTTTAGGCAAGTGGTCTTTGAGCACCCACAGGTGAGCAGCATAAGCAGGGCTAAATCTGGCTTCTTCCTGAGGGATAGTGGTCCAGAGAGACACGGAATCTAATTTGCCATTCAAGAAATGGAAGGTTCCTTCCTGAAGGACCAACCTATATTGCTGACCTGTGTAAGGCAAGGCTCCTTCTTAAGTCTAATCAAAATTCTTCCTACTGCAGATCATATTCACACTAAAGGGTCTATGTTCCTAGGACCTCACTGGTTCTGGTACAATATACAATAGACTTTTTCAAAAAATGTATATGGGTGCACTATGTGTTTGCCTGGTGCCCAGGAGGCCAGAAGAGAGCATTGGATCCTTGAGGACTAGAGTTACAGACAGTGGTGAGCCAACATGTGGGTGCTGGAAATCAAACTTGGGTCCTCTGGAAGACCAGCCAATGCTCTCAACAGCTGGGCCGTCTCTCCAGCCCCACACAATAGACTTTACAAATGTTTGTGGAATGAGCCAACCTTGTCTCATTTCTACCTGTCTTGTCTAGCACCAGAATTGAACAAGCCAGTGCACTTCAAAACCTTTACACAGAAGCATAAAAATATTGCTAAATAATACAGAGATCAATCACAACACCGTTCTAGAGTCTATAGTCCCTACTCCCCACTTTAACTGACCTGGCCTGAGTAGCCACTCTACCCACAAGCCTCTGCCCACTGCAGTTCCTGGGAGATTTCCAAGAGTAATCTAGAAGCCCAGTGTGCTGCCAATAAGATAGAGGCTAGAACTCAGGGGGACGTCCTGCAGAATAGCCAGGAGCATTCTGGGAGTACTTGAAGGCTTGTCAGTGGGTAGGGATCTGAGATGGGGGGTGATGACCAGGGGCAAGAGGTAGGCAGTATGAAAAAAATGTGGAGACAGAGTGCCACCTAGTGGCTCCCTCACATCTGCAGACCCAGGCACCAGGCTAGGGTGTTCCCAGGCCTCCATAGCACGCTCCAAAGAAGGAACAACTGTGTAGCAGAAGCAGGGTGTTTGTTTCAGTGCTTTATTTACTCGGTTTCTCAGCCCTCAGTCCTTTCCTAGGATACGATGACCTGGCCTGAGGCCACCCAGCCTGGACTGGAGCCCAGGGCTCCACAGGGGTTCAGTCAGGGCAACTGTGAGATAATTGGTGGATGGCTAGGCTCCTTGGGAAAGGAGGGTGAGGATGGGGGTGGGCCTACAAGACGGAAGGCTGAGATCAGAGGGGAAGGCTGAGTGCAGTGGATAGGTTATATCTAACCACTGGACCACCTCAAAGTGGCAGCTCAGGTGAGGGTGGCAAAAGCCACAAGAGAAGCATGATGAGAGGGGACTTGTTGCTCCAAAGCTAACAAAAGCCCAGGGCAAGTCTGGAGCTGTGTCTCTAACCAGCAGCTCCAGTGAAGGGTTGCAGGTACTGCTGTGGCCCTGGGGCAGCCACTAAAATGGAGAACAGCTCTCTGGCTTCAGAATCAGAATACTCCCCAGCAGGCCCCTACACACTCGGTACCCGGGGCCTTTAGCTTTTGTATGTATTTGCACACAAAGGCGGTTTAGCAGAACCAACTATGGCCTTTTTGTAGCAAAAGTGGTACCAGTGCAGGGCCAAGTGCTTTGCTCTCTTCTGTGAAGTACATTCAAGGACTTGCTGGACAGTGGGAGCACAGCTTCTAAGGTCACATAATTCCAGGGATCTTGAGCTGGGTATGTGCCAAGGCCATTTGTTACAGCAGGGGCAGGGATTAGCCATGGTAGTAGTGGTGGGGATGGCGGTCATGCTCTTCCCTGGGCCCCACAACTCTGTGGTTCCAGGAATGCTTCTCCTTCCTCCTTGATCTGTGGGGAGACAGGGAACAAGGCAGGGAAAGGCCTTTAGGAAATAATACCACTGAGATGGGAAAGCCCTATTCTTCTGAGGTAAGCCAATTCAGGCTGCTGTCACCAAACATGGGGGAGACCTGGGCTTCCAGGAGGGATCCACTGGGGGAGGCAGGAAGGTGGAAAAAGAGGGCCCTAGCTCTAAAGGGGACCCCTCAGGACTACTGTAGCCCTTCATGAGAAGACAGAAAATGTACCCAGATGCCTTCTCTAAGGCCTGGGAATCAGAAATGAAGAGAAGGACTCAAGCTAGGGACCTCTTCCATTCAGGGTCCCAATGCCTTTAAATCCCTCCCAGCTATTAACACCACTCCCCAGATCCCCACCTCTTCTTCAGTGCCTTGTCTCCAAAGAAGTGACTGAAGATGAAATCCTCAAAGTCATCTACTTCATCGTCATCACCCATCTGTTTCAATGCTGCCTCCTCCAGGCTGTCCTCCAGGGCATCCACAAAGTCCCGGAAGCGAAGACGGTCATGCCTGAAGATGCCATCTTCTCCAAAGTAAGCAGGTAAGAGGGGCAGCTCTTTGGTCAGTTGCCCAGCCCAGGGCAGCCTCTCCAAGTATGTTCTCAGCACAGAGGCCAGTTCCTGTAGCCGTACAGGGGCTAGCTCCGTGCCAAAAAAGGTCAGGCCCTCCTGCCTGGCACAGTCATCTACACCTGAGCAGCCCTGAGGGGGCCGGTACTTGCGCTTCAGCAGCTCCTCCCAGGAGGACAGGGGGTCAGGGCTGTTGTCTTTCCCCCAAGAAGGCTTCTGCCTTTCTCCAGAGTGGGAGTCCCCACTTTTCCTAGGGTACACCTTGAAGTCCTGTCGCTTGCCATCCTTTCTGTTCCCCAATTCTTCTACCCTTGGCTTGTCTTCCTTCCACACTCCTGTTGCTTCCCCATTCCCATCCCTCCAGCTCCGCTTCCTCTTCCGGCCAGACTCCTCCTTCCTATGCTTCCAGTGCTCATCCTGGCCAGACTCCTCCTTCCCATGCTTCCAGTGCTCAGCCTTCTGGTGCCTCGGCCCACCATGCCATTTCTCCTTTCTGCTCCACTCCCTGGAATTCTGGAAGTGAGGCTTCTTCTGGTACCAGGCCTCTGAGTCATTGGCAGGAATGCCATTGTTATGACCCCAGTTCTCTAGGCCCTGCAATGTCTGGGCCAACATGTGACCAAGTTCAGCCAGACCAGCATGAGCGGGGGCTCCTTGGCCCGCATTCTGCAAGCCCCTCTGTAAGTCTCGGTGCACAGACCCCAGCAGCTGCCACTGCCTTTGCAACTCCTGCCTTAGGGCCTGTGCTTCAGCCTCTAGCCGCTTATGCTGCTCTAATAAGCTGGGGTCTGGCTCCTGCCCCTTGTGGCCTTGCTCCTTGGTGGCTTTGTCACTTGGGCCTCCACCCCAGTTGAGACACACCCCATCTGCACCCCGGACACAGTTAGCTTCTAGGCCTTGGAGTCGGGCCCTTAGCTGCTGTAGTTCTAACTCTAGGGCCTGATGGGAGGTCTTGCCCTGCTGCAGGGCCTCCCGGAGCCGGGCATTCTCCTCTTCCAGCCCTTGGGGCTGGTGCAAGAGGTTCTGAAGCTCTTCTTTCTGAGCCTAGAATGTAGTTAGGAACAAAAGAAAACAGGAATCCTTGTCAGAGTGGGCACAATGCCTTCTACCCCAACTCTATTGTATTAGAATGGGCAGGGGCTAGTTCTGTTGGTAGAGGGAATGCTGGGTGTATGCAAGGCCCAGGACTTGCGGCCCGGTGCTGCCTTGGACAGCCAGATGGGTTCCCCCTCTTCTTCACCCCTTCATCTGAGCCAGTTCCTGAGATGGTCAATTTCCACCCCAGCATCTATGTCCTTCACAAGCACATACTTTTTAGATCTACCACAGCCAATAGCTAGCTTTCCTATTCCCACTTCCACAGCCTATATCTAGAACAGGCCCTGTCCATTGATCCTAGCACTTGGCATGAGCTGTGGCATGTTCTCCAAATGCTCCAGGAAGATCATAGCCATCAATCAGAGAGGCAACCTGCCATGTAAAGAGGCACACCAGCCCTGACAGTCCTTAGCACGAGGGAGGTAAACAGACCAAGAAGACACCCTGACCACAGTGGTAAAAGGGTCAGATGAATAAGGAAAACTCCTTCTGAGGGAACCCCACTAGGACATATACCTGGAAAAGGTGAGCAGATGAACCCCCTCCCTCTTGCTAGGGCCCACCTGCAGCTGGGCCTGAAGCAGCCGGATATCCTGGTTCTCCTTGGCCAGCTTGTCCAGCAAAAGCCCCATGCTCTGCAGGCTGGGGCCACTGTCTGGTAGTACTGAGGCCTGCAGCTGCTCTAGCTCATCCTGAGGGCAGAAGAGCAGCCACTTCATGCTCCCTCCCAGGAAGTGCAATCCAGCTTCTCCCCACCAGGCCCCACACACCTAGAGAAAACCCATACATACCTTCCTGTTCCCTACAGTATCTACCAACTCAGTCTCCAGCCCAGTATCTGGGAAGACCTGCAACTCTGCTTCTTCCATGGACCCTGTGGGTAAGGGAGCCTCTGAATCCAGCCCCATGATCCATAGAGCCCATCACCCCTCTCCCAGTCACCCCTCCTTCCCCAAACACACCCCATGCCTCATAGGTCTGCCGAGCTAAGGGACAAAAGTCACCCTGAACAGGTGACAATGTCAACAACTGAGAAATAATACGCAACCCTGAACACCTTACCCGAGGACCATGCCCCACACAGACTCCCATCACCACCAACAGAGAAAGCAAGCCAGGGCCTCTACTACTCACCAGTCTCAGGCTCCAGCAACCCACCTGAAGATGAAGACAGTTTGATGAGGCCCTCGGGGAAGCAAGGAGAGCTAAGGACAGGGCAGGGCAGCAAGGCAGTACCAGAGGACAGACTGGAGTCCCTAGCCAGGAATACTACTCACCAGAGAACAGGAGGATCCCCAGGCCGAGAAGAACCAGGGTCCCCAGGAGACACATGTTGAGAGAGATGCCCAGCTCGCCTCCTACACCCTCGCCCTTGGCCTGGTCCTCCGCATCCATGGGTGTGGCGGGCTGGGCGGGGCTGGGCTCCCGGCCCCTCCGTCTCCGCAGACCCTCCACATCCACATCAGTGTCATCGTCACTGCTGGAGCAGTGGCACTCTTTCCATACTGGAGGAAGGGCAGGGGACAGGGCGGGAAGGCAAGGGGAGTCAAGCACAAGAGAGCAGTGATGAGGAGGAAGGCACAAGAAGCTCCAGCCCAGGCCACAGACAAGGCATGTGAGGACTGCCCCATAGCCTGGGTGCTGACTGACTGCCCTGTCCAGTCTAGAAGCAAAAGAACTGTCCTTTGGATGGGGGGGGTGTCCTTCTGTATGCTGTGAATATATGTTTCTTTTATTGGTTGATGAATAAAGCTGTTTCAGCCAATGGACAGGAAGGATTTAGCCAGGTGGGAAGTCCAAACAGGGATAGAGAAAGGTAGTGGGCAGAGTCAGGGATACGCTATGTAGCTGCAGAGGAAGCAAGAGGTCCGGGCATCACCGGTAAACCAAGACCACAGGAAGATACACGGATTAATAGGAATGGGTTAATAATTAAGAGAGAGCTAGCCAGCTGGGCGTTGATGGCGCACGCCTTTAATCCCAGCACTTGGGAGGCAGAGGCAGGTGGATCTCTGTGAGTTCGAGGCCAGCCTGGTCTCCAGAGCGAGTGCCAGGATAGGCTCCAAAGCTACACAGAGAAACTGTGTGAGAAAAAGAAGAGAGAAGAAGAGAGAGGGAGATAGAGAGAAAGAGAGAGAGCTTTAGCCAATAGGAAGTCTGAGCTGTTGGGCAAACAGTTTATAATTAATAAAAGCCTCTGTGTGTTTATTTGGGACTAAATGGCTACTGGACCAGGAGGGACAGAAATTTCCATCTACATCCATTCATCAACAAGCACAGAACCACTTCCATTCTAAAGCCATTCTCCTCCTTCCAGTGTGTGCCTCAACTCAAGTTTCCTCACAGGACGCCCCCTCTTGAGTCCCCTTTGAATTCTGTGGCCATCATGCTGCTTTGGCTTTGTCCTGACCTAAAGTTACCAATTTCCCTAGTACCTTCTTTCCCTTCCCACAAGGTCAAAATCTCTCACCCACACCACTGACCTCCCCTCTGTGGCCTCCACGGTGACCCAGGCTTGCCTATCTGACTGTAGGTCCTCTAGCCACATTCTTCTGGGTGCCCCAAGGGGAGGAAAACATTCAACATACTACCCTCCAAATTCATCTTTCCTAGTGTGTCCCCATGCTGCTGCCTTTCTGGTTAACTTCAGTCTTCCCTGTCTGTCCCACATCAGACAGTTGGACAGTTCTCCACGTGACAGCCTCCATAGTTTACTCTCTTCACAGGCTTGTAGTCTCTGCCTTAAGCCCTACCTCTCCCTGACTCCTACAGCTGTCCCCTTAATGGCCCCAGGCCCCAACCTCTTCCTCCCCTGGCCATCTTCAATCGATGGAGAGCAGGAGGAGGTGTGTCACCTCTGCCACTGCCTAGGACAGACCTTGGATTAGCCCCTCTTCTGCTGATGCCAAAGCTTTGTTTTCTCCTGACCTACTCTATGCTCAAGACTCTTCTCAAATGGTACCTCCAACTACATCCCGGCCTGCTGTGGAATAATCCTCTTGAACACTGTAAAGATTTGTCACTGGAATTGGTTAAATAAAAGGATGATTGGCCAGTAGCCAGACAGAAAGTATAGGTGGGGTGACCAAACTAAGGCTGATGGGAAGGAGAAGGGGCCGAGGCTGGAGTCACCAGTCACACACAGAAAGAACAAGATGGGCATGCCATACTGAGAAAAAGGTATCATATGGCACAGCACAAATAAGGAATATGGGTTAATTTAAATGAAAGACCTAGTAACAAGCCTGAGCATTTATAAGTCTCAGTGTGTTTAATTGGAAGTTGCTGGCAGGACGGAAACTTCTACCAATACCTGCCTATCACTCATTCTTTTTTGGGGGAGGGGCGGGGGGTTGAGACAGGGTCTCTTTGTGTAGCCCTGGCTGGCCTGGAACTCACTTTGTAATTTTGCAGTTATGAAATAGCAACAAAATAATTTTATAACCCCATGGTGGTGGATCTCTGTGAGTTCAAGGCCGGCCTGGTCTACAGAGAGAGTTCCAGGACAGCCAGGGCTATACAGAGAAACCCTGTCTTGAAATAACAACAACAACAACAATAATAATAATAATATAATGATTGGAGGTAACCACAACACAAAGAACTGTATTAAAGGGCTGCAGAATTAGGAAGGTTAAGAACCACTGTTCTGGAAGCAAGAAAAGAGTGCACACGGAAGAGAGGACACAATCAACCAGATATAGGCCATCACTCAAGCTACCTAACTCCACTGAGCCTCAGTGTCATCAGGGATGATAATGAGGAAAGAAAGTAGGAGGTGCCTGAAGCTCCTCATAAACTCAGTAGTGAGGCCCACACCTTCTATTTATTTTTTAAATTTTATAGTTATTTATTTTTATTTTATGTGCACTGGTGTTTTGCCTGCATGAATGTCTGTGTGAGGGTATCAGATCTTGGAGTTACAGACAGTTGTAAACCATCATGTGGGTGCTGGGACTGAACCCAGGTCCTCTGGAAGAGCAGCCAATGCTCTCAATTGCTGAGCCATCTTTCCAGTCCCTATTTTTTGTTTTTGTTTTGTTTTGTTGTTTGTTTGTTTGTTTTTGTTTTTCGAGACAGGGTTTCTCTGTGTAGCTTTGGAGCCTATCCTGGCACTAACACTGTAGACCAGGCTGGTCTCGAACTCACAGAGATCCGCCTGCCTCTGCCTCCTGAGTGCTGGGATTAAAGGCGTGCGCCACCAACACCCAGCCAGTCCCAATTTTACACTTGTTTGTATATGTTTATTTATCAAATGTATGAATGTTTTGCCTGCTTGTATGTCTGTACACCATGTGCATGCCCGTGGAGGTCAGAATGGGGCATCAGGTCTGCAGGAACTGGAGTTACAGTGTGAGCTGCCATAAGGGTGCTGGAAATTGAACACAGCCAGTGCTCTCAACTGATGAGCCATCTCTAGACAACACACACACACACACACGCACGCACGCACGCACGTACGCACACACGCACACACGCATGCATCATACTTTCTAAAAGGTGAGAAACAGGAGACAAAAAGGGACCTAACCTGCTTTGGGACTTGAGGGCAGGTTCTGTGGAGGGCTCTCGTTTTCCAGGTCCTGTGTGTCTGGTCCCAGGCTTGTCGCCACAGGAGTCTCTTGCAAATCTTCCTGGATAAATGTGTCTCCAGGGGGCTCCATCCCATGGCCATCACATCCCAGAGTGCCCTGATGTGGATACAGCTATGAGAAGTGCTCTCCCCACTTTCTTCCCTGTACCAGTGAAGCACCTCACCTTGGCCTTCATCTCCTCAGGCAGAGTAGCACTTTCATTCCAGGAACCTTCTGTCTGGAAAAGCTTCCCTGTGGTGGAAGAGAAAGTCCAGGAAAAACCCACAGCCCCAACCTGAACTTCACTGCAGCCCTTTAGCACCCACAGACCCCAACCACTTTGGAGTGCTGCAGCTCATAAACCAAGATTAGCAAGCAAATAGCCTAGGTGATTGCCCTTCCCCCAACTAAAAGGAAGCCCCCAGAGACAAGATAGTGTATGCCCAACCCTCCACAAGGCCCCATTACCTTCTCCATCCAAGGTCCCAGTTAGTTCTTCGCCATCTGCCTTGGAGGGGTCTGAAAGGGCCTGAGAGGCTCCCACAGATTCTGGGTCCATCCTGGGTTCTGGGCCCAGAGTCTCCACAGGCAGGTTCTATGGGAAGGGAGGTGAGCACTAGGATACTTTGTCAGGACATAGGACAAAACCGGGAGCAAGGATCTGGGACCAGGGGATTAGTCTAGCAGTGCCTGGGGGAGGCCAATGGCACCTGGGGTACCCCCCAACCCCCGTCATTAGTGCTGCCCTCCCCACGAGCCAACAACCCAATCTGGACACAGACCCAGGTCACAGTTATGTTCTGTCTTCTGCCCAGCCACACATCCATCTTCTGAGTTCTCTGGCCTTTCCCATTGGCCTACACTCCCCTGACAGCCATCTCCCAGCAACTACTGGCAGAAACCCAACTACCCCTAGCCACATGCAGCCTGACCCCCATGGTGCTTGGCTCACAGCCTGGCCCTTTAGCTCTGACTACTCAGCCTGGCCAACTTTTTTCTGCATATAACTCCTTGGCAGCCTGCCACCTGCCCACCTCATCTAGGATTCCACTCTTCCTTTTTTTTTTTTTTTTGGTTTTTTGAGACAGGGTTTCTCTGTGTAGCTTAGGAGCCTGTCCTGGCACTCGCTCTGGAGACCAGGCTGGCCTCAAACTCACAGAGATCCGCCTGCCTCTGCCTCTGCCTCTGCCTCCCGAGTGCTGGGATTAAAGGCATGCGCCACCAATGCCCAGCTCTCTCTTGGTTTTAATCTCACTCTGTCTCTTAATCTCTGTGTGTGCTCACACACACCTATGCAGGCAAACGCACATACCACAGTATGAGCATGGGGGCACGAAGTCAGCCTCAGCTAGGTGTGGTGGTGCAGGCCTTTAATTCCGGCACTCAGGAGGCGGAGGCAGATGAATTTCTGCAAATTTCAGGCCAGCCTGATCTATATAGCAAGTTCCAGGTCAGTCAGGGCTACATGGCAAGACTTTTTCTCGAAGAGAAAGGCTAACTTCGATGTCAGCCCTCCCCTACCACCTCTTTTGAGATGAATCTTTTTACTTTCTCTCTATTTGCAGACTAGCTAGCCCTCAGACTCTAAGGATTCTCCTGTTTCCAACTCCTATCTCATCATAGGAGCACCAAGATTACAAAACTGTACTACCAGCGTTAGTAGGTTTGGGGGGGTCTGAACTCAGGGCCTCATGTTTATGTGACAAGTGCTTTACTCACTGAACCATCTCCCCTAACCCTCCAAAAATGAATAGATGATAGACAGATACACAGACAGACAGATAGATGGGAGCAGGGCATCTCTACATAGCCCTGGGCTGTCCTGGAACTCACTCTGTAGACCAGGTTGGCCTCAGCCTCACAGAGAGCCACCTGCTTGTACCTCCTGAGAACTGGGATTAAAGGTATACACCACCATACCCAGCTCAAGAATAATTTTAATCTCAATATATTTCTTTGCAATTTACAAATCACATTTTCTCAGAGTCACCCCTGCAAGGCAAGGATTACAATTCTGGTTTATAATGAAGGATGGACAGACAGATGAAACACTTGGCCCAGGTCCCCAGCTGTCAACAAAGGCACCATGACAGGAGACTGGGACTGACTGAGCACAGATCCTATTTGAATCCCTGCCAGTGAGCAATGGTCCACGGTCATTGCTGAGGTCAACCCCTCACCCCCAGCTGGGCTCCTAAAAAGCAACTCAAATTCAACATGTCTAAATGGAGTTCTGTGACCTCTCTACTGTTTTTTATTTAATTCATTGATTTGTTGATACCAGGTTTTATGTATCCTGAACTCCTGATCCTCCTGCCTCCATCTCCCAAGTAGCAGGATCATAGCTTGTTCCACCATGTCCAGTCCTTCTAAGGAAGTCCCTTTGACACACCCTCATCATACCTCTCTAGCTATTAGTTCCAGTTTACAGTCCTCCTTCTTGGTGGCATCAGGAGCCCTCTGGTTTCCTGTCCTACCAAATGCCACCTGGTAGGCTGCAAAAGTTTTGGAAACACTATCCCTGTTCCCACCCTGCCACACAGAGGCTTGGTCCCCTGCTAACAACATTGAGTGTTGGGCTACTCTCCAACTCAGCAGCTCTGCACTGTTTCCTCATCAGATGACACCTGTGCTGGCTAACTTTATCTCAACTTGACATAGGTTAGAGTTATTAAGGAGGAGAGAACCCCAACTGAGAATATGCCTCCATAAGAGCAGACTGTAGGCAAGCCTGTAGAGCATTGTCTAAACTAGTGATTGACGGGAGGGCCCAGCCCATCATGGGTGGTGCCATCCCTGGGCTGGTGGTTGTAGGTTCTATAAGAAATGGTCTGAGAAGTCATGGAAAGCAAGCCAGTAAGCAGCATGCCTCCATGGCCTCTGCATCAGCTCCTGCTTCCGAGTTCCTGCCCTGTTTGAGTTCCTACCCTGACTTCCTCAATGACCTACTTATACCTGCAGTATAAGCTGAAACATAAACCCTTTTGTCCCCAAGTTGCTTTCTTTGGTCATGGTGTTTCATCACAGCAATAGTAACTCTAAAGCAACACCTGATGTCTCCTCAGGTCCTTCGAGGTTCTTCTGAGGTTCCTAGGCTCTAGCTTGCAGCATTCCAATATGGATTCTAGCAGGTCTCCACCATACCCTAAGGCTCTTCAGTCTCCTCAAGATGGCTCTCCTTTGTCACCTCATGACCTTGCTCTTGCTGGTCTCACACCTGAAGTCCCTCTCTTCTCTCAGCTTACCCAACTGGTCCCTTCTTCCCATGTATGGCCTAAGCCCTAACACAGAGCTCTGTGCCAGGTCTCCTCCCTGCCATGGGAACCCCATAAAAGCCAACAGAAGCAATTCAGGTGACCATCAGGACCAAGAGAACAGGACAGATCCAGAAAACAGTGCTGGGAGCCAGACCAACCCAAGACTTTCTCAGAGGCCCTCATGAAAGAACAAAGGGAGCTTTAGTTCTATGTCCTTGTCCATGAGCAGACTAGGAAAGGTTGGTCTAGGGCTAGAGCCAGTTCCTCGAAGGAGTCAAGGTTGTATTCTTGTGACATGACTCTTCCCCCTGGACTATGGTTATCAATCCTAAGGCTGAGGTATTCTGTATTCTTTGCCAATGTTGTCTGATATAGCTCTCTGCTGACTTTGGCCATTTTCCCTTGTAGATAGTATGTAAGATGCTGTACTTCCTAATAAATTTATTTGGCATAAGTCATCAGCTTGTACAAGACCTCCTAGTCCCAGCTATTGCTTTTGTCTTCTTTATCCCTCAATCCCTGACACTCCCACTAAACACCTCACCATTTGGGACCCTTATTCCTGCAGGTTCCGGTTCAAAGCAGTCCACTCCTGTGGAAGTCCCCCCTCCCACGTAGTTCCCAGGCCCACTGTTCCTACCTCAGAGCCAGCAAGCACCCAGCTATTATCTGAGTCTGGGCAGGAGGAGGTCATAGTTGTGGCAGTCCAGGGTTGCTAGAGTGGCCACCTGCAGGGAAAAGCTCTCTTAAGAATTGGAGTCCCTGGGCTGGAGAGATGGCTCAGCAGTTAACAGCACTGGCTAAGGTTCAATTCCCAGCACCCACATGGCAGCTCACAACTGTCTGTAACTCCAGTTCCAGAGGATCTGACACCCTCACTCAGACACACATGCAGGCAAAACACGACACCAATCTACATAAAATAAAAATAAATCTTAAAAATAAATAAATAAAAATTTTTATAGAGGAGGAAGAGGGGAGGGAACTCCCATCAGGGGAGGCAGACAGCAGAAGTAGGACTCCAGGCATCAAAAGCAGGGCAGTAATCTCCAAAACCCAGGCCAGTTCAGTCCTTCTGCCCTAATCCCATGCTTTCCTGGAAGTATTCTTGCTAGAAGCCACAGGGAAGCTGCCTCTTCCAAGGATCCACAGGGCCTTGGGAAACTGCACTGACCTTGAAAGGTCAAAGAGGCCAAAGGCTGAAAAGTCCAACCCCCTGGTGTTCTGGTCAGTGGGGAGGCATCACAGAGAGGCTGACTGACTGGAGAGAGGGAAATAACCTGGGTCCCTTTCACAATACCTGGGTCCTCCATAGTCCCTAGCGTCCTCCCACAGAACCCAAAGAGAAGACCCACCAGTCTCCTTAAGGCCCAAGTGTCCCAGCACCCATCTGTCCATCAACCCTCCACTCTTGGTTTAGGCGAGTGGTTCTCAACCCGTGGGCCACACCCCTCTGTCAGCTATTTATATTACATTCATACAGTAGTAAAATTACACTTAAGAGGTAGCAACAAAATAACTTTATGGCTGGGGGTCACCACAACATGAGGAACTGTATGTATTAAAGGGTCACAGCGTTAGGAAGGTTGAGAACTTCTGGTTTACTGGTTCTCAGCACTGGCTTTGCAAGGCTCAGTTAAGACTGCCATTGACGTGAGTGGAATCAGGCCAGGCAGGAAGCTTTCTGATACTGCAGGGCCCAGCAGGCCTGGGAGAGTTAAGTCCTCCTGGGTGTACATTTAGTCAGGCTCCTTTTCGCTTTCTCTCCACTGTAAATTCTACAGAGTTTGATCTCAGGGATCTTGATCTCAGGGACTGGAGAGAAGGATTTGTGGCGATTACCATCCATAAATCACATTACAATTTACAACAAAAAGGGGTGGGGGACTGGGACTCTGGTCCTGTCCCTTGCTAATCAGCTTGAAGGACAACCAGGGTTAAGGTATGACTCCCCCCCCCCCACACACACACACATTAAGCAAGGCTGTGCCCTTGGGCTATGGAGTTGCATCTGGGATCAGGCATGAGGATGGAGTGACAGACAAGCTGACCCACAGAGTCTTGGACTGTGGTCAGAGACAGAAAAGTCACTGCCTTCCCCGGTAGCAGAAAAGGCAGAAGGTGAAGATGACTGAAGAACACTGAGAAGGGAAAATGGGGTGGGGGAGTCTGGAAGTTCTACCTTCAAAACCAGCCAATGCTTCCTATCTATCTACTCCAGCTAGGGTTAAGCCCTTCATGGTTACCTTATAAACTTCTGTGGCTCTGGCCAGTCAAGATTCAAGTCCAAGATAGGTGATAAAGGACGTCTAATGGTGTCTTTCTGAGTGCCAGTGAGACACCAGCACCCAACCCACAGGGAGACAGAATGATTTCGGTAAGTTCTCTATACCAGGTCCCAAAAAACCTCCCTACGCCCCCCTTCCTCTAGTGACACACACACACACACACACACACACACACACACACACACACAGCCATCCTTGTCCAGCTCTCTGGTCTCACCCCTCCCTCTACTGCCCTGTCCCAATCCCAGCTGCTGTGTGTGACTGTTAACAGGTGACAGGAGGAAGGAAGCAGCAGCAGCTTGAGCAGAAGTCCCCGGTTCATCCCTGGCTGTTTACAGCCTGCTCAGGTCCTCCAGAACTAAGCACCATGGCAACCAGGGTGATGTCAGACCTACTGTCTCCATGGAAACCAGCAATGGTACGGTATTTGGGTCAACAAGACAAACCTTCTGAAACCTAAGCAGCGGACTTCCTGGAACTCCTGCACTCAGGGTCCCAAACCCTGCTACCAGAACGCATCCCTGCTCTCCTAGGCTAGCACATCGATGCCTTATTAGGAAGCCCTCTAAGAAATTGTGCCGCTGCTTAGCTGCCATCCTTCTCAGCTGTGTTTTCAGGACTCTTTGACCTCTAGGAAGAAAACCAGCTCCCTACGCTCCCCTTTTCACTCAAACGGGGTACAACATCTTGTCAGGATTGTCTCTGACTCCTGCTGTTTCTAAAAAACAGTGCTCCTACTCTGCACAAAGCTGTGAAGTCTGGTTTGGTGCACACTTCCCTCTAACAGACTTCTCTGACCTTTAAAGGGAAGGACCTGGGACCACAAGAACTTGCCTGAGTTCCTGCTTCGGATTCATCCGTCTCCCTCCTTCCCCGCCCTTAGGTCCTGTGTTAGGCAGTGTGTGGACCCGGGGCGGGGGCGGGGGGGGGGTGCCCACTCCTTTTATACAGCTCTGCCCTCCTTTTTTATAGGGGGATAAAGTGGGGGTCTGCCGGCCCATTCCAGCTAGGGATTTACCTGACCCAGCTCTCGCTTCTGTCTTCAGTTTAACTTCTTGCAACCTCCTCAGGTTTCCAGCCCAGGAAGGGGAAAAAAAGGGGGGGGAGTCTCGTGGCTGGGGGTTGACCAGTGAAAAGTCGCCTTCTCCGCACGGGTGGGAGGGTAGGGGGAACTTTTGACCAATAAAAGGTGGACTTGATCTCCTGGGCGGGGCGCGGGTAGGGGTAGAAGATGTAAGCAGTACTTTCCCTCTTGGTTTATCTCTTGGTGGGCGAATGTGATCCCCAACAAACTAATTTTTTTTTGAGGTGGGGAACCTCGCTCCTTTTCGAAATGTTTAGTGTCTAATAGGAAGATCTAAAACTGAAAGGTGCTGTCTGATGAGATAGCAAGGACCAGGTGCCATGTTGGCCCCAGGATAGACAGAGACAGCTGTAGTATGGGGGATGGGTCCGGTGCTAGTTGTGGGTTTAGAAATAGCACTCCTGCCTTCCTGCGGGCAGACTGAAGGTGCCACTGCTTTGAAAATGGAATGGAGGGCGGCCAAACGTGGTGGTGCACGCCCTTAACTCCAGCTCTTGGGAGGCCGAGACAGGTGTATCTCTATAGTTCGAGATCAGCCAGTTCTACATAGTGAGTTCCGGACCAGCTAGGGCTATATAGTGAGACTCCGCCTCACAAACAAACAGCAACAACAACAAAGAGAGGCCAGCCAGTGGGATGGCTCGGTGCGGTGAAACCTCCACAGGTGCACTGTGCACGTGCCTGCCTTCAACACATTAAAAAAAAAAAAAAAAAAAAAAAAAAGGAGGTGCTATAATCCCTGTGCTAAGAGACTGAAACAAGAGGGTGATTAAGGCCAGTGTTGTGATCTTGTTTAAAGACTCGAGCTAGGGAACGTGAACCAGGAGATACATTAACCATGGAGTTTATTAAGGGGGGGGGAGCGAGAGAGCGAGAGAGAGACAGAGACAGAGAGGAGAGAGAGACAGAGAGACACACACAGAGAGAGAGAGAGAGAGAGAGAG